TCTAGTATAATATATATATATATATGTACCCCAAACCCTATTCTACATATTATAAGGCCCTTATATGAATTCAGGTCGGCTTAACACCCACTGAGTTGGGGATTCAGGTCTGGCCTCACTGCTTCCACAGGTGCTTAGTATATTTACGTGGCTACATGGGTTTAGGGAATCGGCTCACACACACACACACACACACACACCTGCGCACAGGTAGGCATGGCTTCATGGGTTCTGGACGGTTTAGGGTTTAGGGTGTGGGGTATCAATCAAGACTTGTCACCCGGGCCGTCGCAAGCCCTCGCTCCATCGGTTCATTCGGGGACACGAGGAGCACCCTAAACCCTAAACTTAAGGGACAACAGGAGGGACCCCTAGAAGGGACCCCTAATCCAAATACCCTATATAACCCTTATATACCCCTTATACAGTCTCATATAAAGCCCCTACAGAACCCCCAAGGGTCCCTTTAAGGGTCCCTCCTTTAGTCCCTTGATAAACCATACACCCCCGGAGCACCCTACGGAGCTGGGAAGCTCAAACACCATCAGCCCTCGCTCTCCAGGCCTTGGCTTGTAAAAGAAGTTTGAATTTATTGCTAGGTTCCTTTAAAGGGTTCCTTAAAGGGATACTATAAGGGCTACTATAAGGGTTTAGGGTTTAGGAGCATTAGGTTCCCGACGAACCCCCTCCTAAAAATACAATAGGATGCTCTCAAAATCAAACTCTAATTTCAAGGCCGCTACGTTATCTAGTACCCCATTAGGCCTTGTAGCATAACCAGACGATATCTCAGAGGCATCTTGGAGATGATCGTGCTTGGGGGCTCAACAGAGCATGGTACATGAACTCTGTCTGCGGTTCCTTCTTTTGCCGGTTTAGACCTGTCAGAGTAACAACAAGCAGAAACATAGACCAGAGCAGACATATTCATCATAATCCTAGACATGCTGCCAAATTACACCGACCAAAACTGCAAACGAGAACAATGCAATCGTCGTTAGAATAGCAGTCTTTCATCCGCACCGCGCACAGCCAAGCTGCAATCGCCCGGAGGATGTCGTGCTCCAACTCCTGTCTGAGACTGGGTGAGGCTATGTTCTACATTGTTGGGCCTCGCTGCTTACCTGGGAGCTAAGCCCTGGCTTTGTTTACTTAGAGCTCTGAATTGGGATCATCATGTTTAATTTGTATTATCGTTCGCAACCAGGACATGTCGAGGTTCCCAGTTAGATAGGGGTACAGCTCAAGGCATCAGGACTTCTGCTGCTAAACCCAAGTTCGCTTCTTTAGGAGTCTAGTTGGGTGACTCTTTCGCTCGAGGACTAGCAACTCGTGGGCATAGCTCTACCTGTTTAGCCCCAAGCCCTACAACGGCTGCAAGTTATGATGACCCCGTTGATTAATTAGAGGGTAGAGCCCTTTAAACTAAACACTAGGCACTCCGTTTCGGGTCCATGGGGTCTCTTGTAGACCCAATTCAACTTGCGACTTTGGGTTCAGGGTTCCGGGTTCGGGGTGCGGGATTTAGAGTTAAGGCTTCAGAGTTCGGGGTTTCTTTGTTTACCCATAGGCCCCACAGTAGTTCCTTTTTGGCACTTCGATTTAGGATCCTATTAGGTAATCCCCAAAAAGAACTACTAAGGGGCCTATGGGTAGGGTTCAGGGATTTCTTCCGAGTCCTTTTTCACCCTAAATCCTGGAAAACCCTCAACCCTAAACCCTCCTGGAAGAGGGGGCAGTGCAACAGCGACTTGAAGAGGAAGTCTTGATGCGCTTTCTCTTTCTCGAAGTAGGGGCTGGACCAATTGGCCTGAGGATTTTGGTGCGTTTAAGGTTCAGGGATTCAGGAATAAAAATAAACAAAAAATATAAATAAATAAATAAATAAATATATATATATATATATACATATATATATATATAGATATACTTATTTATTTATTTGCTTATGACTTATGGCTTTAAGTATTTATTCGTTTATGTTTTTATGTATTTATACTACATTATATTATACTAAATTATATTATATTGTATATAAAACTATGGTATCATCATTTGGGGCTTCTTTGAGGGGTTTGAGGGCTATGTCTGACTCGAAGTAGAGGCCGGACATGGCTGGCCTGAAACCGCTGATGCTTCTATGCAGGATTGATGGAGGGTTTAGGGTTTAGGGGCCTTAATCTATACCAGTACTACGGTGATATAAAGCCTGCATTACCCATAATAAGGAATATACCATAATTTCCCATAGCTTGAGGTCCTTAAGTTGATGCAGGATCTACATCATCAACAGTATTTTGGGGGGTCCCTTACTATAACTATAATATAATGACCCCAAAACCTTATTCTAATCATTAAGGTCCCTATATGAAGCATGAGACCTGGCTTTACCTTTGAAGTTACCTTAACAATGGATTACTATGCTGAGGGTCAACTTATGGACATACAAGGGACAGTAGCTGACTACATAGGCAGCTGGGCTGCTTGGGCGTGTTCCGTGTCTTCCATACTTCCCCCTTCTTCTACCTGCCTCACCCCAGTCCTCTACATACCTCTCGTGCTGTCCATCTGTTGGAAGGTGTTTCCATAGGTCTTTCTCTGTACACTTCCTGGTTTGTTTGGGATCGTGTGTGAAAACATATGAGACAAGACTACAACAGCAGTGCTTCGTGCCAGCAATCAAGGACCTCATGTCTCCCAGTGGACTGTCTTGAACCTGACCCGCTGAGCCAACTCCTGCAGCTTCCCCTGCGGGATGTCTATTCCGGACAAGACCTGCCTGCATGCGCCCTGCCCAATCAAGCGTGTGACACAGCCTCCTGAAGCTTCAAAGGTGGGAGCATGGAACTACGTAGAGCGATCGCGCACACTTCAATTCTTTAGGGCCCCAGCAAAGCGCACGTTGAAGGCACCAGTCGGCAAAGCAGACACTCCTGTGCCGTAATGTAGGGGCCTTAATAATTAGAATCGGGTTTGGGGGATTATGTTATACTAAACTTAAAATAAGGATCCAACGATAGTATGGGATAAAATATTAGGCCCCTAAACTTCGTGCGACGGGCATCCTGTACTTATAGCCATGTGCCTTACGGCCAGCTGGTTTCCCAAACGAACTGTCAGGTATGGAATGTCTCTCTAATCAACTTGCAAGCGTGTTGAAGTCTGAGATGTATCTATGGGGCAGCAATAGAGTAAGTAAGCAAGCCAGCTTTTGATGCGACACAACATGATCACGTCGCACCCATCATGCTGTACCCGCCTGTAACTCATGCCAAAGGCCCTCCTCTAAACCACAAATCCCCGAAGTCAAAACTTCCTCACCCTAAGGGTCCATCTATTCATATAGCATATACATTGGCCCCAAACTACCTATATAGGGACTACTTTAAGGCCAAAGTATCTACTACTTGGGTACATGGACCCTTAGGGTCAACCACAGCTTCAATTCAAGCCCGGAAACCTCAGCAATGCCCTGCGAAGAAGCCTTCACTAAGTCACGAGGTGTTGATTGCAACAGCCGCCGAAAATATTTGGTGTTCGGGTACCAGATCAAGCAATCAGAGAAATTCAAGCATAATTTATCCGAAAATCGGCACCTCGTTCACATTCCAAAGCTGTTTGCACCCTAGGCCTTGAGTTGTATGACGCCAAAAGCATGGTGTAGGGGCCCGGTGTAGGGGCGTGATTCTTAAATTCGAAGAGAGTTTGGAGGCATCACTCAGGCATGTGTTACTATAGGCCAAGGTAGGCAAAGCTAGTAATTTGTATGTTGAAGAAGGCTTCAGTCGAGGACTGGTCGATTTGTCAGCTTTAAGAAATTCTTATGGCACGAATACTGCGAATGGCACAAAAGCCACCACCCAGCTTCACCGTATGGTCAGCCTCCTCTTCGCTCAAGCATAGCCGGCTGTTCCAGCTCCTGCGCCCAAGGGTTTCAAGTCCTATCTACCGATGGCTGCAGAATCTGGGGTTTAGAATTCAGGGTGAGTCTTGCAGTCTTGTACAGTATGTACATGGGCTTTGTATCTTTCAAGCCCCCGTAGTGCCTGAAAGAACTGTTGCTACAGGAGCCGTGCTTGTCTTCCGTCCGCGAAGATCAAATGTAGACAGATGAGGGTCAAAAGGCCTAGGATAGCACAGTGACGTGCACAAGTCTTAACTCTTCCCGTGTTTGCGCGTGGGTGTGTACATGTATATATATATATACATACATACATACATACATACATACATACATACATACATACATACATATACACACACGTATGTGTGTGTGTGTGTGGAAATCCTGTTTCTAAGGATATTTAGTTACAATGAGCGAAGTTTCTGACATTGGATGGTATGACTCACTGTGCGAAGTTGACAATTACAGCAGGGGATGGCAGCAGGGTCCAGAGTCTGCCATCAACGAAGACACTCTGGATACCCTGGTGATGCACGGTCTGATCAACCGTGTGTACCTGCTATGAGTTTCACTGAAAAGCTCTGGTTATCTGTTTGATTCAATAAGCCTGGAGGCCACGATGATCTTCAGATGATTGTATATCTATCTAATTCTGATGATCGTGTAGTTATCCAATTCTGATGACTGTGCATCTATCTAATCCAGATCACCGTTG